TGGTATTGTGAGTATATTTTCCCTGCCTTTTTTTTTTTTTTTTTTTGGCTTCTGGTAAAGTGGGTTTATCTATTGTCATGTTTTTGTGAGTGTAGTTAACTTCCCTGGGTTGGTATTTTCCTTCCAGAACTTTGTGAATGGCTGGATTTGTGGATGTGTATTGTGTAAGTCTGGTTTTATTATGGAATATTGCTGGGTGTAATAGTCTGGGCTGGCGTCCGTGGTCTCTTAGTGTTGGTAAAAAATCTTTCCAGGACCTTCTGGCTTTCCATGGAGAAGTCAGGTGTAATTCTGATAGGTTTACCTTTATATGTCATCTTCACTGCTCTTAATATTCTTTAATATATTCTGAATGTTTGGTGTTTTGATTATGTGGCAAGGACACTTTTTAAAAATTTTTTTTTGGGGGGGGTCTTGACTATTTGGTGTTCTGTAAGCTTCTTGTACTTTCATAGACATGTCTTTCTTTAGGTTGGGAAAGTTTTCTTTTATGATTTTATTGAATATGTTTTCTGTACCTTTGAGCTGGGCTTCTTCACCTTCTTCTATATCTATTATTCTTAGGTTTGGCCTTTCATGGTGTCCCACATTTCCTCAATATTTTGTGTTAAGGGTTTGTTAGATTTAAGATTTTCTTTGGTCAATGAATCTATTTCTAGTAGTTTATCTTCAGCACCTGAGAGTCTTGTATTCTGTTGGTTATGTTTGCATCTGTAGTTCTTGATCATTTACCCATCTTTTCTGTTTCCAGCATTTCCTCAGTTTGTGTTTTCTTTATTTTTTCTATTTCAGTTTTCAGGTCTTGTACTGTTTGAGTTGTTTCCTTCATCTGTTTGTTTCTTTCTTGGCTTTCCTTGCTTTCTTTAAGAGATTTGTTGATTTCTTGAATTTTTTTGGTTTATCTTTTCCTCTATTTCTTCCATTTTTTTGTTTGTTTTTTTCTTCCATTTCTTTAAGGGATTTTCTCATATCCTCTTTGAGGGCCTCTATCATTTTCATGAAGTTATTTTTAAGGTCATTCTCTTCTGCTTCATCTGTGTTGGTATGTTCAGGTCTTGTTGGTGTAGAGTCCCGACATTCTGGTGGTGTCACATTGGTCTTTCTATTGTTGAATGCGTTTTTGTACTGCAGTCTTCCCATCCCTTCTTCCAATGTATGTAGGTGTGGTCTCTCTCTCCTCCTCTCCAGGTGGGTATAAGGAGGGTTAGGACTTTGGTGTCAGCAACTCTGGATGATCTGAGCTCTCTTGGAGGTCTCATGCAGAAGACATGGGGACCATGACTGAGATGGGGGCAGGTTCTCTATGGTCTCACTTGCCAGGGCTGGTCAACTTATGCATTGGTCGTAGTGGGGTCAAGACTCAGAATCAGACTGAGATGAGGGTGGTCCATGTGCCTAGGCAGGTTCACTACCTGCAGAGCCCTCCCTTCCTCCCAGGAAGTTCAAAGGAAAGAGTGGGGGCAGAGGTTGGACCAGAGTTAGCCCCAGACTCACCTCAAGCAGAGGGCGTGGGGGCCAAAGTTGAGATGAGGGCAGACTCAGGATGGTCTGGCATGGCAGGGTGGGTCCACTACTCGAAAAGCCAATCCAGGAAGTTCCAAGGAGAGGGTGGGGGTGTTGCACCTGAGCTGGCCAAACACTCACCTCAAGTAGAGCGTGTAGGAGGCCAAGACTGAGAGGAGGGCAGGTCTGCACTGTCCATCATGCCAGGGTGGGTCCACTCAGAGGGGTGGGGTGGGGGTCAAGATGTAGAGCTGATCCAGGAAGGGAAGGGTGACCGTTTGGACCTGCCAGCCCCAGACTCAACTCAGGTAGAGGGCATAGTAGGAGCCAATACTGAGATGGGGGCAGGCTCCGGATGGTGCAGCCTGCCGGTGAGGGTTTACTATGCACAGAGCTGACCCAGGAAGTTCCAAGGAGAGGGTGGGGATGTTGGACCTGAGCTGGCCAAACACTCACCTCAAGCAGAGGGCACGGGAGGCCAAGACTGAGAGGGGGGCAGGCTCCAGCCAGCTATGTTGTTTATCACCCACTTTGAGCTAGAATTCAGCTTTCACATTAGTCTCTTATAAACTTTTATATAATCATTTTTTAAATCTGCTCTTCTTTAAAACCATTTTAAAATGTGTTTTCATTTTTAAAATTTGTCTTCTGTTTTTTTTTTAAACAGGGTCTCTTTAGGTAGTTTAAGCAGCCCTGATTGTCCTGGAACTTACTATTTAGGCAAAGCCAGCCTAAAATTCACAGAGCTCTGCCTGCTTCTTCCTCCCAAGTGTTGGAATTAAAGAAGTTCATTGCTATCTAGGATATTTTTATTTTTATGTGTATGCATATTTTGCTTTCATGTGTCTGTGTACCACATGCATGCAGTGCTCATAGAGGCCAGAGGAGGGCATCATTACAGGTGGTTTATGAGCCCTGTCTTGTGGGAACTGAACCCTGGTCCTCTGGAAGGGCAGCCATTGCTCTTAACCATGGAGTTCTCTCCAGACCCTTTAACCTGCTTTTGAATTTATTTTAATTCATATTCTCTTGTAATGTTATTTACTTTATATTTACAAACCTAGTGACATAAAGTCTATACATGATATTTTAGCATTTTTGGAATCCTTTAGTACTTTTGTGAGTCTTTGTTTTTAACTTTATTATTGCCTTTTTTTCTACTCCTTCAAATGTGTCAACTGTGCTGATGTGAAAATCTGTTTGCAAATCTTCTTGGCTCATGACTATTTCATAATGTCTCCTTTTTATCTGGTGTGAGCTCCTTATTGAAATGTTACACACACAGAAAGTGCATACATTACAAGCTCCATAAATACTTTGTGATGATGAGCCCCATCAAGGGAGAATGTGACTGTACCTCAGAACCCTGCTTCTGTAATGGGCCATGACCTAACTCACAGACAGTTTTACCAGATTTGATGTTCCCATATGAGAATCACATCTGTACCCTGCCCTTTCTAAAGCAGTCTGTGCTATGGCTTCTTACCATGGGAGCCTGGTGTGAGGTGTGGGCTGGTAGCTGTTTCCCTGAGGTCTAGTGCGGTGGTGCTCAGCCTGTGAGTTGTGATCCCTTTGGGAATCCAGTGACCTTTTCACAGGGTTCTCATATCAGATATCCTGCATACCAGATATCTACACTATGATTCAAGCAGTAGCAAAATTATAGTTATGAAGTAGCAACAGAAATGATTTTATGGTTGGGGGTCACCACAACATGAGGAACTGTATATTAAAGGGTCCCAGCAATAGGAAGGTTGACCACTACTGCTCTTGTGGATTATCTTTACTAAAAGGTCATGGAATACCTTTTTCCATGTAAGCGTTTTGGGCCTGTTGTAATTTTTAAAAAGTGGCTACAAGAAAAAAGACACCATGTGACAGACAGAGTTCAAGCAGAGTTTTTTTTTTTTTTTTTTTTTTGTGGGGGGAAGGGTCAGAAGAAGGGGAAAGGGGAGTGGGGAGACCCCCCTCTGGGGACAGGAGCAGTGGGAGTTGGTATTGAATGGAAGGCAAAGGAAAAAGCAGATGTGTTGCAGGCAGAGCAGAATGGATCTGTTTACGGTGGAGCAGGTGGTGGGGTGCCATCGTGAAGTGTTACAAAGTGCTGGGAAGCAGAGTTTTGGTAGGCTCATTCCACATGAGTGAGGCAGAACAAGAGCCAGTGCCTTTTATCAATCAAGGACCTGGCATGAAAGGCACAAGCTACTTTGATGATCAAGGGGCCAGAGCTGAAGGACCCAAGGGTCTGAGAAGTGAGCCTGGTACAGGCCACCCAGTGGGCCAGCAAGCAAAGGGTGGGGCCAAGGGCTCAGATGAATCTGAGAGAACCATGGTTGCCTGGTACCAGGATTTAATGAGACCAAAAGTTGAGAAACCCTGCTGGAGAGAGATGAGAGGAGCCCTCACTAGTGGGAATAGCCAGAGGTGGGGAGGGGGAGGGGAAGGGGAGAGAGGGAGGGGCTCGCCAATCATATTGGTTTTGGATGGAGGGACCCAGTGATGCAGAGAAGTGAGGCTATCATATGTAGACTGGGTTCCAGGGTCCTGTGTGCCTCAAACTGAGGAAATGTCAGGAGAGCCTTCCTGGTCAGGGAATCAATATAATAATAATAATAATAATAATAATAATAATAATAATAATAATAATAATGTGGTGCTGGAGAGAAAGACACTATTCAACAGTGGAGGGTCTTTTTTATTAGGGGAAAGGGAAGTGTGGAGACCCCCCTCTGGGGATAGGAGCAGTGTGAGAGAGGACCCAGGCAGAGGGAGAAAGAAAGAGAGGAAGATGGGAGGGAACATAGTGAATGTGCACAGGTGGTGTCTTAGTACCTGTGGTTGAGGGCGTATCCGGTCAGAACCCCAAGAGCAGGCCGGTACAAATAAATACCTGAATACTAACAGGCTCTACCTCCTCATGGAGGAGAAAGGTGGAGGAGGTCCTTCCAGTGGGATGTTCCTGCTACATGGCTACTGTATTGGAGCAGGGGTCCTGCCAGCAGAGATAGAGTTGGTGACTGGATATGCCTTTGCCTAGAAAGCTTCCATTGTCCATTCTCCTAGAAAAAGAACAGCAAGTTTTAGGCTGGTAAGATGGCTGGCTCAGCAGGTGATGCTCTTACAGGGCAGATGTTGTTCTTACCAGGGCAACTTGTGCTCTTGGGTCCGGAAGCATCACTGCCTGGGTTCTTTAACATCTCTGCATTGGGTAGAGAAGGCAGGGCAGTTTACGCATGTGGGGCCCCATAGCCTTGGCAAGCCAACCGTGCTCTTGGTTTTTACTCTCTTGTGGGCTTTCTCCTCCCTTCACATTCTGCCTGCACATACAGGGGCCTTCAAATCTTCCCCTACCCATTCTTTCTTATCCACGTTCTTTCCTCCATTTAAAGCTATTTTGCCTTAACTCTTTCAGTTGTTCCTACCCTTACCCATACCTCTTCCTCTCTATGCTCTTTGCATCCCACGATGTCTTCTGACTTGTTCTTTTGCCTCTGTAGGAGATGGACTGGCAAGGATCAAGCAGGAGAAGTCAGAGTGGCTGCTGCAGACTGTGGTGTCTCAGGCTGCACTTCCAGAGAAAGACAAGGAAAACATATTTCAGCAGCCGGGCGGCCGCCCACTGTGCCAGACCATGAGGCGACCCTGGGCTGTGGGGTCACAGGAAGAAGTTGGGGGTACATGTTGGGCCCCACCCCCTGAGCAGGATGCACGGTTGGCTGCTCGAGTTCCAGGGATAGCTCCAAGCTCTCTGAGCTCCACACTTTCTGGGGGTGGGGGTCACTTCGTGTGCATGGATTGTGGGAAAAGGTTCAGCTGGTGGTCATCCCTGAAGATCCACCAGCGCACACACACGGGCGAGAAACCTTACCTCTGCAGCAAGTGTGGCAAGAGCTTTAGCCAGAAGCCCAACCTGGAGCGCCACCAGCGCCACCATACAGGTGAGAGACCCTTCCGCTGCCTAGAGTGCCCAAGACGCTTCAGTCAGAAGCAGCACCTGCTCAAGCACCAGAAGACTCACTCTCGGCCCACCACCCATGCGTGTCCAGAATGCGAGCGCTGCTTTCGGCACCAAGTGGGCCTCCGCATCCATCTGCGATCACATGCCCGTGACCGCCTGGGTGCCCGTGTCAGCTTGCATGAGATGCTACGTTATGCTGCACGCCGCCGGGCCTGTCGCCTGAGCCCTGGATCCTCACGCGGGCGCCACGAGTGGGTGTGGCTGGGGCTCTACCAGGGCTGGTGGGGTCAGCACAGGGTACGGACAGCAGCCCACAGCCGCATATGTCCCAATGAAAAACGCCAATTCATCTGCAGTGAGTGTGGCAAGAGCTTCACATGGTGGTCATCGCTGAACATCCATCAGCGCATCCATACAGGCGAGCGACCCTATGCATGCCCTGAGTGCGGCCGCTGCTTCAGCCAGAAGCCCAACCTCACCAGGCACCTGCGCAACCACACAGGTGAGCGGCCACACCCATGCTCGCACTGTGGCCGCAGCTTCCGCCAGAAGCAGCACCTGCTCAAGCACTTGCGCACGCACCTGCCTGGAGCCCAGGCTGCAAGGTGCACCAGCTGTGGACAGAACTGCCCCAGCCGTGCCGCACTGCGGGCCCACCAGCGTATGCATGCTGCTACTGAGCTGCTGCGTTCGCGATCTGCTGTCCAGGGTGGAGTACCCGGTTCAGAGCCACAAACTGAGATTGTCCGGAGTGTGGCTGTGAAGCCCCATGGTTCTCAGGGTGCCAAAAAAGTGCTGTGTGGTCAGGGGTGCAAGACCCTGGCTGTCCCCAGTGAGCAGCGCCAGTTCATCTGTAATGAGTGCGGCAAGAGCTTCTCATGGTGGTCGGCGCTCACCATCCATCAGCGCATCCACACTGGCGAGCGGCCCTATGCGTGCCCAGACTGTGGTCGCTGTTTCAGCCAGAAGCCCAACCTCACACGACACCGGCGCAACCACACCGGCGAGAGACCCTACCTGTGCACTGCCTGTGGCCGTGGATTCCGTCAAAAGCAGCATCTGCTCAAGCACCAGCGTGTGCATCGCGGAGCTCAGACACCACGCCCTGGCCCAGAGGAGGAAGAGCTGTAGTGTGTGCCACCTGTATAGCTGGTGGTGGGGGTGATAGAATGTGTGCCTGCAGGGTATTATATGGGGAATAGAAGGGCCAAGGATGCAGACTCTTGATGGTCCTCAAATTAGAGCCTATTAAAGGCTCTTCGCGGTTCTGAGGCCTGAGGATGTTATTCCAGAAACATCTCAAAGGAAGCCCGAAAGGTGCACAGCGGGGGAGGTGGGATGGAAGCTGTGAGTGTCTGTGATGAGAATGTGTTCATTAGTACACCATTCAGAATTAGCCCTGGCCTTAGGCACCTTCTGAAGGGCTATGGGGGGCCCTAGGAAAGCCTCCTTGTGTGAAATGGCCTGGAACTGATCAACATTGTCCTGTCACATAGGCTACAAGATGGTTAGAGGGGTGGTCCCTATGGGAAGATGGTCACAGATTCCAGGATCCCCACAATAGAGCAAAGGCTTTGGCTAGCAGGGGTAATTATTTCCTCAGCATCAAAGACAGAGCCTCTTGTGAAGCACTGGGAGATTTGATGGTCTCTGAGTGTCTTGCTGCTCATGGTGCTCTAGGTATGGCAGGCCTGGCCATAGAACGGATAATGTGTATGATGATTAAGGGATGAGGTACATGGTCTCAGCCGTAGCCTGGCTGCTTGAGAAAGTGGCTGTGCAAGAGTGGGGTGTCTTGTTCCAAGTGTGTAGGCTTCTGCGACTAACTTGGAGAAAAATGAAGGACTGAAATTCCACATGGTGTTGCCGTCCTTTCTGAATCGTCCTTACTGGAGACCAGATGTGTGTGCTCCCTAGGATTCCAAGGGTATGGGAGTGGGGTTGCCATTCATGTGTCCCCCTACCCGCTGCCCAGGCTGGAGGGTAGTGCTCTGTCTTCCACTCTCCTTCATGACAGTTGGATGTCTCCCCCCATATACTTCTGTCCCCCCACTCTAGCCATCTGAGGTCACTGCTCCTGTCCCTGTAAAGCAGGCTGGCTGATGTTCTGGTGCTGCCAGAGGCCAGGGCCCCAGCTCAGGATAGCCTTGGATGTATTCTTCCCAGAAGATGAGTGCTGGGGCTGGATAGCTTAGAGGTGGTGGAAGGTGGGACCCAGGAAAGTTCTGGAGGAGGGTGAACTACACTTGCTGGTCTCTTGGGGCCTGTATCTTCCTGAGGATGCCAAACAGTGTTGAGTTCAGCCTGGCTTTTGGTCACTGCTCTAAGAAGAATAGTTTAACTTTTATTTTGGAGATGCTTTAGTTGTAGTGTTACAGAAGGACATGTAAGGCTAAAGAAGGACAAACAAGACCCTCATGGCCACTACCCCACTCCTGAGGAGCACAGTGGCAAGGGAGTAGTGTTAAGCCTGGCATGCTCGTTCTTGGTCAAGTTATTTGATCCTAAACTAGATGAAATCCTGCTTTGGCTAGCAGGGGTAGCTGGGAGAGGGATGCTGATCAGCTCTAAAAACCACCAGGAAGCCAACCCTGAAGAGTTTTCCCCAACCCCTCGATCCACACTGGGATTAGGCTCTCCCCTCCCTCCTTGTAACGCTTGCTCTTAATTATCCAGCCAGTCTTTCCCTTCCCAGGAGGTGCTTGGTGTCCTGCATCATACCAGAACCTGATCCTTCCATGCTTCTTCCTCTTTTTCATCTAAGCAAATCCTGAATCTAGCCTGAAAAGCTTACCTATCTATTCCTGAAAGGCATCCAAGGGCACCACCATTTGGGGCTAGAGAGCCATTGTCTTCAGGGTAGGCCCTGCAGAAATATTGGCTCCCTATAGAATCAAGTGGCCAACGGGTGGTACAGGCAGGCACTGAAGAGATTACATATGCTCGGTCTTTCAGTGGAATGGATTCTCTCCCACAAATGGCCTGTGATTAAATTCAAATTGCACTGGAGTATGTGTAGGACTCAGGGTTAATGAAGTTTAATTGTAGCCCCTGCTTGTCCAAGTTGGGAATGCCTGTTCATTTTTCCTGGATGATGTGTCTCTCACAGGGTCATAGGGCAGACAGGATCAAGTTCTCCAGAGGGCTAAACTATCTGTATGCACACTGGCCAGGTTGGGACTGCAAAGCATTGACTCCTTAATGGATCTGTGTACTGGGCCTTGTGCTGGTTGAGTAGACCATGGCCTGTGCACTTGCTGAAGAACTTCCTGGGGAATCATTTTAATATGCCCTGCATTTGTCACAATCTGTATGCTCCTTTTTTAACAAATGATTTTCAGCCCTGGCCTTGTTTAAAGGGCTTTCTTATTCATGATTTCATCTAATACCCTGTGGTCAGTAATGTAGGTTAAGCAGTGACATTGCCATTTAACATGAGGGTGAGGGGATTGGTAGTTCAATTTGTCTATCTGGTCATGTTCTGCAATGATGGCAAGTCCACACCTTCTGTCAGCCTAAGGGCTATTGTCACAACTATTGGCCTTACTAATGATAGCACAGTATGTCAACTTCAGTTCTGCTCACCTTTCCTTGTAAAGGGGGTCAGAGGATATCAAAGAGGTGGCATCAGATCAAAGACAAGGTCTTAGTGGTTTACAGTGCTGGGTACTCTACAGCATTGCAGAGATTAAGTGGGTACATGGGAGCCAGTCCACAAGAAAGGAAAAAAGACCCCCAAGGCTTGCTGTCCTGTCCTCTGCCAGGTAAGTGTGTGCAAGCCTGCAGTGGTCCTGTGGGCAGGCTGCATCTGCTCCAAGGGTCCTTGGAGAAGGCTGCATCTGCTGGGTAGGGCTGGATCCTGGGACCATTCTTGTCTTCTGTGAGGAGTAGATGGAAGGCCAAGCCAGATAGCCTACGGTACATGAAATGAAGAGCAGCTGGCCATTGCCGAACAAAAGCATCAGGTTTGACAGCAAAGGGGAGCTGACAACTGACTGGGAAAGTGAGTTTCATTTCTTCAGCAGATGAAGAGAAAAATAGGGATGCTTAGAGAAGATCGAGGTTTTCAAAAGCAAATACAGTAATGTATGGCAGGTCAGTACCATGCTCTCAATGGCATTTCCTAGGTAAGTGGTGCCAGTACAGAAAAAGAAAACACAGCTGTGGGCAGAGATGGTGGATAGGGAATGCCATCTAAAACCCTCAGTCTCTGAGGGGAATGACAAAGGATGAAGGCTGAATTTCAGCTGAGTCACTTCTGTCCTCCTATTTCATGCGCAAGCACCTGCCCCCAGCCCAAACGCATCTTCATGTGCTGTGGCAAACACAAGACTGTGTGACTCCATTCTGCATATATGTCAGCTTCTTTTTCTAGGCAGGACAATGGTCCACATGTGACCACCATCATCAGGTAAGGGCCATGCAGCTGAACTCTAGAGCCTTTCTGTGTGGGTGAAAAGCTAGCTCAGTAAGTCCTGCTGAAGTCCTGTGCTGTATTCACCTGAGGCACACCAGACAAACAGGCGAGTTGGGAATACCCCTGAGAGCCCTAGAGGTCACTATACTGACCATCTCGAGCACTCCTGCACAGGAGTGAATCTTCCATCTCTCAACCCCTTCCAAGAGCTCTTTCTGTCCCCATGATCTCTACATCTCACCAAAATGTCTGGTGCTGATTTCAATTTGGAATTTAACACACTTGCATCATCCCCATCAGGTTGTGAATTTCCAAGAGCAGGGTCTGTGTTTTTAGCATCCCTGACTCCCCTGCATGTAGGGTCCTGCATGTAGGGCATCTTTTTCAATGTCTATTCAGTGAATAGTGCATGCCTACATAGCATCTGTTATATCCCCATGGGCAGCTATAGGGACAATGTGAGAATGAGGAGCTGCAGGCTAAACTACCTATCTAGCTACAATTTAAAAGAATGTGAAGGGCTGCAGAGGCTTGAATGTAGATGTAAAGCCTAGGTTGTAAGGTGTCTCTGTTCCAAAATTCTTTCTTTACAATTAAAATCTAAGACAGGGTTAATAACATCAGTTTAGTCAAACCTTTAAACACATGACAGATCAGAAAGTGAGGAACTGGTTCATTCCAGCTACCATTTAGATACAATGTGCCCCTCCACTCAAGGGCTCAAAGATTAATCCACTGGAGGATTCATATGACTGGTAGAGATTTTTGGAATGTTGGAGGTGGAGTCTAGTTGGAGGAAGTAGGTCCTTCCTTGCTAGGAGGGGCTTCTAGGAATGATACAATTTGTCCCAGACCCTTTCCCGTTTCTGTGCTTCCTGGATGCCTTAAGGTGAGCAGCCTCCTGTGTCAGACATTCCCACCAACATGATATTCTATTTCACCTCATGCCTAAAGAGATAGAGCCAGCTAAGCATGACTGAAACCCAGCCACAGACACTTAGGATAGGACTGCCTCCGTTGTTCTTAGCTATTTCCATAGCAACGGAAAAACTGAGTAACACAGTTCCTCATAGAAACTGAGCTCAACAGGGGAAATCCTTTCCTTCACTTCCCACAATGCACAGGTTCTTCTAGTAGCCACACACAGAGCTTATTAGAATCACCACGGCATCCCCAGAGCTGTAATGTCATCCTTGATTAACAACAGCGAAACCCACCTTTTCTACCCACCATCAATAAGGAAGAGTGTTCTGAGAAAGGGGTGGGAGAAGGCAAGGCTTCTAGCTTTTTGCTTATAGAAGCATCATTATTACTAGGGTGCACTATTGCCCCATGAAGGAATCAGTTGTACGTGTGTGGATGTTTGTTTTAGTTTTTTGTTCTTGAGATGGGTCTTGTGTAGTCTGAGCTGGCCTCAAACTTTCTATGTAGACAAGTATAACCTGATAAATAAAAGACCCAGAGACAGATATTGGGGTTCAAATTCCAAGGTAAAGATCAGAAAAGTAAAGCAGCTAGCCACTAGCTTACTCTACCTCAGACTGAAAGGTGATCCTGGCTCTACCAAACCTCAGATTGCCACCTCTCCTCAGCTGGAGAATCCTGAGACTTCAATGACTTCCTATCTTCAGTGTGTCTGGAGAATGAATACCAGCTCTGAGACCCTGTTCTTGTCCTAAATACCTCTCAGGTGTCCCGGGATTAAAGTTGTGTGATCCCAAGTGCTGAAATCATCTTTGTGTGAGCTGTTTCTCTTTAGGGCTTAATATATTTCCTGTAGCTCAGTGTGGCCTTGAACTAACAAAGATTCATTGTCCTCTTAATCCTGAGCCCTGGGATTAAAGGTGTGTACCACCACCAACTGATCTCTATAGCTTGAGGCATTGCTTTCTGAATCCTCAGGCAAGCTTCAATAAATCATATCAACACAGACAAGGATGACCTTGAACTTCTGATCCTCCTGCCTCCATCTCCCAAATGCAGCAATGAACAGATGTGCACCATAATGGCCAATTCTATGGGGCCCTGGAAACAGAACCCAGGGCTTTGTACCTGCTGGACAAGCACTAATATCTAATCCATGAGGTACATCCCCAGCCTCCAGGTTTAAGTGTTTAGGAGACACATGTGGACAATGACTATGACATTGGAAGACACACATTTCATCATTGCAGAAAATACTGTTGCACAGATGAGACCTATGACACGTTCTTCCAAATTTGGATATGCAGGAAATTCCATCCTCTTTGCCCAAAGGGACAACCTAAGATATTACTTATTTCCCTCTCTTCACTGTCCTTGTCAAATCCAGGTTGGATGGTAATATACTATTTGGGGCTCCAATACTCTTAACTACCAAAAGTTCAAAGATATTTATGAAATTCAAACCATGTTAGAACATTCCAAAGGTACCCTCCACTCTGTCAGCTCTTATAAACATACATACATACACACACACACACACACACACACACACACACAGAGAGAGAGAGAGAGAGAGAGAGCGAGAGAGAGAGCGCACAAGGATCTTTCTCACTGGATTAGTGTACCTGCTGGGTACACTGCTCCCAGGGCCTCTGTATTACACCCCTCCACTTCCCTCAATTAGCTTCCCATGGCAGATTGACCCATGAGCCTGAGCAGTGCACATCAAACCCTCCCAAGGAGCCTGACCCCTTTGCTGTCAAACCTGATGTTTTTGTTCGGCAATGGCCAGCTGCTCTTCATTTCATGTACCATAGGCTATCTGGCTTGGCCTTGCATCTACTCCTCACAGAAGACAAGAATGGTCCCAGGATCCAGCCCCACCCAGCAGATGCAGCCTTCTCCAAACCTGCCCACAGGACCACTGCGGGCTTGCACCCACTTACCTGGCAGAGGACAGGACAGCAAGCCTTGGGGGTCTTTCTTCCTTTCTCGTGGACTGGCTCCTATGTGTAGCAGGCTTTCTTTTGGGCCACCAACTAGTTCCCAAATTATGACATGGCGATTTATTAGTTATGAATGCTTGACCTTATCTCATGCTTGTTCCATTAGCTCTTATAACTATATTAAACCTGTTTCTCTTCATCTATTTTGCTTCTGTGCTTTTTACCTTTCTTTCATTCTATATGTCCTACTTCATGTCTGTCTGGCTGGCTGCAGTTGCCTGGCTGGCTGGCCACATTTACCTCCCCCCCCAAATCTCTGTAATGCTATGGAGTATCCTGCATTGTAAACCACTAGGACAAGTATCACCTTGTCTTTGATCTGATGCCATCTCTTTGATATTCTCTGACACACTTACAAAGAAAGAGAATCAGAACTGAAGTTGACAGTGGACAGTGCTGTGGTATCCTCAGAGATAGTTGTGACAATAGACCTTAGGCTGACAGAAGATGTGTACCTGCCATCATTGTAGAACATGACCTGGTGGACAAGTTGAACTACCAACCCCCTCACCCTCTTGTCAAATGTCAATGTCACTGCTTAGCCTACATCACTGACCACAGGGATGGGGAGGGGGCTGCTTGTGGTGGGGTGGGTCCTTTAGAATGAGTCAAGTTGGACCTGTGACACACACACTGGTCCTAAGTATACTGAAACGTAGGCATGGCTTCCAGTTCTAGTGACCCAAACAAGAGGATGTTTTTAGTGACTCGTGGCCCTCTGGAAGAATTTTGCAAGCACACTGGACACTTGGAAAGATGAAGCATGGAGGACCCTCATAGTATCTGAGTTTCCCAAAGCCCATACTACAAAGTTTTCCTACCCAGCCATTCCTAGAATCTGCTAGAAAAAGCTCTATATGGTACTGGGGAGCCTGCTTTCTCTGTCTGGCAGCTATGAGGTTGCCACAGAGAAACTGTGGTTTCTATAACCTTGAAGTAACTTTCCTCTCAGGCCTGTTTATAAGTCTAGTGTGAACTCTAAGGCCCTGATGTGGTCTTTGCCTTCTGTGGGTGCTGGAGGAAGCCACCTTGTGTTTCCTTTCAAAAATCTTTTCCCATCAATAAAATGGGGTAATAAAATATTATTATCCTGTTTTATAGCTGCAAATTGTTATTGGAAGTTCCCATGGGATAATGCATGGGGAAACAGTGGTATAAAAAGCCAAGGGTATGGACAGGCAAGTGGTATTAAAGGGCAGCGGGAAACTGGAATTTAGAAGCACCTGCTGCTTCTCTGGGTGCGTTCGTTCGTTCGTTCGTTCATTCATTCATTCATTCATTCATTCATTCATTCGTTCGTTCATTTGTTCATTCATTGGAGACAGCCTCATTATATAGCACTGGCTGGCTTGGAACTCAATATGTAGACAATGCTGGCCTCGAATTCCAGAGATGAACTTGCCTCTGCCTCTACTGCTGGAATTAAAGGCATGCACCATGCCTGGCTTCTCTGGGGGTTAGGAGCTCACTTTTAGGGGACAGCTTTGCCTTGACCACAATATACTCAGCTCTGGTGGCTCTCAGACTTTCCAGCACTCGGCCCCCTGCGTCTCTCTTTTCTTGCTTCATGGAATGGCGCACTGCTCCCATAGTTAGAGCCTGTTTTCCAGGAGCTGGGGCAGGTCCGGGGACGCCAGGCTTCTTCTGCCTAGGAATGAGGAAGATCGCGCTCATCCAGAAAGTGGGCTGACTGGGGTGGGGGTGGAGTGTTGGGCTACTAGGATAACCCCTCCCGGAGGCAATGCTGGACCCTAGAATCTGGACCCTTTTCTTTCCTGGGCAGGCGCAGCGTTTGTTGCCTCCCTTTCCCCTGCCAGCCAGGTTGTTGGCAAGTTAGACCTCCCAGCCTCATGGGGCTGCTGTGCGGCTGCGGGATATTGGTGACTTCGGTGCTGTAGCAGAGACAAGGGCTGCAGAGGCGGCGTCACGTGAGTCCCTGGCTAGGGCCTGAGACCGGAGGGAGGTTACTGTATTAATCCAGTCCAGTGCGTGCGGGACCCTTGGGGGGCGGGTCACTGCGGGCGTACGTATTTGCCCGGAGCCATGCAGCCCTTTCTGGGAGTGGCAGTGCCAAAGCTTAATTACTTGTTTACTCAGAATCCCGCGGTCCCATGGGGGTCGCTGCCGGCACCGGGATGGGTGGATTGCATACATTCCTCCAGGAGCTGGGACTGGCAGCTGGGTGTGGTGGGCTGCGGCAGCTGGATGGCAGCCTATGTATGTTCCTAGGTGTGGGGTTGCGATACACAGCTTATCACATTTTTCCAGGGTCGCTAGGACCCTTGGGCTTGGCAAGGCTGTGAGTGGTAGTCGTGCCAGGTGGGGTGAGTTCTTGGGATCAATGCAGGGGTTTGACTGCGGGAGGCTTTTCGGCATTATGGGGGCGGGGAAGAAGGGGCTGCAGGAGACTTAACTGTGCTTTAGTTGGGCCATTCAGAGGAAAAAGCTGCTGCAGACTGCAGAAGGGGAGCAGGTTGGGCTGTGAGTGTGCACTTGATGGAAGAACTTGTGGGAGGGAGGCAAAACCATGGCCTTGGACCCTCTGGCCCTGGTCAGAAGTCTAGTAGGGAAAGTGCGGGAGGTTGCTCAGTGACCGGGCTCAGATTGGCCAAGAAGATCTTGATGGTCTGTCTTTGCAAATGCCAGCACAGCTGTCTCCGGAGGGATTATGGGTGGAAGCATGGCAATGGGTCTTCGTTCCTTTCTCCTGGGCCAGTGCCAGTTCCACCCTGGCCTGGAGGTAGGGGAAGACAGAGGGTGTCTCTGAGACCCCACCCTGCGGATAAACTGGCTGAGGTTGGAAGTGTGAAGATTTGCAGGGAGGTTTGAGGGGAACCCTGAATAAGCTTCACTGATGGAGGGGGCGAGAGGAGTGAATCCCAGTGCCCTACAAGGCATGGGAGTGACGGCAAGACATGGTGCCCTATAGAAGCAGTGCCCCTTTGAGAATGGATGGTGTGTGTGTGTGTGTGTGTGTGTGTGTGTGTGTGTGTCAGGGTGTTTAGTTGCTGAAGTCTAATATATTGCAACATGTTCAATGTTGAGTCAGGAGACTCAGGGCCCAGGCCTGGCTCACCTTGCCGTGTGACCTTGGACAAGTATATTGGTTTCACACAGATTCAATTGTTCCATTTACACACCTGGGCTCAGCAATACTGCTCTGCCCCTTATTATAGGATGTTGTGCAGGCAGTAGGAAACTATTTCAAAAGGACACAGTGAGTGGTCTGGGAAGACAATCTTCAAAGCAGGCTTGCAGGGAGTCCAGTGCTGGGGAGGGGATGTCTGTTGAGCACTGCCTGTGATGCTTAGCCTTTGGACCAGACCTAGCTCCCTGAGACCTCTTGCTTTGGTTCGGTGACCTGCAACTTTTCAAGTGTATGATTCATCTTGTTAGACAGAGAGCTTACCTTTAATGTTTAACCCAGGGAGGTCACTTTCAAGTTTTTTGGGGTTTATTTTGCTTCCTGCTTTAAGCCACTGGTGACCTTCCTTCATTCAAGTTTCAGGTCTCCTCCTATCCTTGGGCATCTGAATGGAGAAGCTGCTCCTGAGAATTCCCCGACAGTATGTAGCCTATGCCTTGTGTGGTGCAGGCACAGGGCTCGATGTGTGTTTAACAGAAGGTAGCTCTCTGGTCTTGAAATGCTGGGTTGGAGTCAGAGGTAGCATGACCACCCTATTCCAGGGTGATGATGAAGGGCACAGGTCTGGGTAGCAGACCGCAAGAGGATGCTGGAGAGACCAGGGAAGCCTTCTAATGGCTCTTGAGAAGAGCCCAGGATGACAGGCTGTGATGAAACAAAACAAAGCTATAGATGGGCAAAAGCTGGGGGCTGTTGGAAGCAAGTGATTCAAAAGGCTGGAGAATGGCTGATCCTGGGGTCTTCCCTCTCTCTCCACTTCTACTTCTGCAGGGGCTGGTGATTGCATCTGGAAGTGCCCATGACAGAGCTGGTGTCCTCCAGGGGAGGGTCTCCTGCAGGGGACAGAGAGGAGGGTCTGGGGGACGATCAAGGCCTGGTTATCCACCACCCAGCAGAGGAACAGTCCCACCGCTGCCCTCTGTGCGGCCAGACCTTCTCCCAGCAGCCCAGCCTGGTGCGGCACCAGAAGGCACACGTGGGGGCTGGTCGCCCTGCCGCCTTCGTGTGTCCAGAGTGTGGCAAGGCCTTCAGCGTCAAGCACAACCTGGAGGTGCACCAGCGCACACATACCGGGGAGCGGCCCTTCCCTTGCCCCGAGTGTGGCCGCTGTTTCAGCCTCAAACAGAACCTGCTCACACACCAGCGAATCCACAGTGGCGAGAAGCCTCACCAGTGTGCACAGTGTGGTCGCTGCTTCCGCGAGTCACGCTTCCTGCTCAACCACCAGCGCACGCACGCGCGCATGCCCACGCCACACCCGCGCCGTCCCGGTGTCTTCGGGGAACGGCGACCCTACTTCTGCCCCCGCTGCGGCAAGAGCTTCGCGCGTGAGGGCTCGCTCAAGACCCATCAGCGCAGCCATGGCCATGGGCCCGAGAGCCAGGCAGCCCATTTAGACGGTGTTCTATGACCCCTGGAAGGCCTGCCACCATCAGCTGCCCGCAATCCAGGACCCATATCCAAGCGTGTTGAGTTGCTTCCTCTCTGGATGGGCTCATGTCTTTGGGCAGGGCCAGCTTGGGGTGTTAAAAGGGCTTGAGCCACCCCCTTTCCTTCCTCTCCCTGGACCCTTTGACTGGCTGCATGCATCTGCTTTGGGCACCTGTGTTGGTTTGCCTCCTCAGGCTTCTGTGGCCTAGAGCAGGTGAGCCCCATAGGGTTGACCAGAGTCCCCTGGGATGAGGGGAGAGTGGGAGTGGGGAGTAGGTGTACAGTGTTATCTCTCTAGATCAGGAGTGAGCAGTCAGCCTGTGTTGGTTTCCATGACTCACTGCTTACCTGATCTTCATTCCCAGCATGTCAGACTTGAAAACGACTTGGAGAAGACCAATTTTCTATGGTCTCTGGGCTCAAGCTCAGTTCCCAAAGCCTCAGCCTACTGCACCCACTGTCTGGTGACCTTGAGAAGCCATTTCACTCCGTGTCGAAGTTTGCTTATCTGTAAGTTGGGCATGAAGATAAGAAACTTCCTTTTCCCTAGGGTGTTGTAAGGCTTGGCTCTTAGCAGAGGGCAAAGTAATTTGTCCAGAGAGCTTTACTCTGGGTTGTATTCTGACCCACTCTTGGGAGGACCCCAGGCCCAGGCACTAGGAAGCCCTCACTCATGCCTGTGACACAGTGTCAGGGTGTCTACAGACATGTGGGCTACAGTAGGGACATCCCTGTGTCGGGAAAATGACGGGCTTCACCTAAGGGCGTTCGAAGGCCTTGCACTGCATCCTAGAGACAGATAATCGCTATAGGAAGGGCAGGTGTGCTGAGGTATGACTTCAAGATGGCAAGGCCTAGGATTTGTACCACAAAGGACTTTGTGTTCAGGGAGAAGGGAAACCAACCATTTGTAATGAGTGCAGTGAGCTCAGACCTGTGATTTAGGATGAGACCAGAGGTCCTGGGAGGGCAGATGGAAGAGCTGAGAGCCTTGAGGTTCATTCAGGCAATGAGAATGGAGGCCTTGGCTATAACTGGTCAAGGTCATCTGGTAAGAATGATAACTAAGGCTTGCTTCCAGGACCCATTTGCAAGGTGTCATTCTGAGGCTCTGGCCTTTTCTGCTCTTTGACAAACAAGGAAACCAAGATTTTCCCAAGCTTGTTCCAAATCAGAGTTAATAATTAGTGCTACAGTGGGTCAAGTCTGGGCTTTGTTTTAGAGTTTGGACCTGAAAAATCTTTGCTGAGTTATTGGAAATGTAGCTGGGAGAACTTGGGCATATGCGCAGGACATCACTGGGTTTGACGGTGCTGGGGACATGAAGTTAGGATACTGGGGACTCTGAGAGGGCCCCTGTTCCCTGAGCCCTTGCTTCCTGGTAGGCCCGTGTTTGGTGTTGCAGACCTGTCCACTCCCTCTGCTCTATGTCTTACTTCATTGTTGAGTGGCTCCTCTGGAATCATTGGCCTCAGCCTGAGGTTCTTGGTGGATATTGCAATGTGGATTAGTATTTGGTGGTGGAAAATAAATAAGGCCCTGGGATGTCAGGAGCTAGTCAGTTACTCAAGTACTCAGAACCCAAGTATCTGATGTGTGAATAGGCTAATAATCTTGACAGTATTTGTTCAGGGGATGAAGTCCCAGGTAGATTCAGAGTGGGTCATGTGAATGTGTCCATGTAGTCTAGATGGGTGAGTAGGCTGGGCTATGTTACTACAATGTACTGACCATGATATCTTTGTTTCTGTGAACAGATACAACAGACAGGACCTCGTGGCCCAGGACATACAGGGCATATCTTGTCATGGAGACTAAAAATGGAGTCCCATGGGATCCCATGGGGTCCTGGCACAAGGACGTGTCTCATCAGAAGACCTACCTCTGGAGGTGCTTTACCTGTGTTGGTAGAGCCAGGAATTAGGGTCTAGTTCTATGTCTTGGTGGGAAAACTCCCAAGGTCTGACTTGAGTTACAGCTGGGCAAGCCTCCTTCTGACTTCCTGACCCTAGAGAACAACTCAGGTGTGGAGACAGACTGCACCTGTGTGGAGATCTGGTCTCTCTCTTCCAGCCTGGCCCACCATTTGGTTGAAGGGCAGAGATAAGGGTCTGAGTTACCATAGCAAGTTGATGGCAGACCTGGCTTGAGAGGCAAAATTTCCCTCAATATATGAGCAGCACTTAAAGGCTCCTGTGCCCTTTCTGAACTAGCAAGTTTAAGACTTCAGGGACATGTGGCCCTTTAAATTCTGATAGAGGCTGTGTAGCTTCTAGGAGAAGTCACATGCTCATGTAGCTCTCACAATGCCAAGTAGTTTCAGAAGCCTTGGGACTCCAGACTAACCACCTCAGCCCTGGGGGTTTCATCTGACATCCTTTTCTTACTCCATACAAGCGTGTCTCTCTTTCTGGTCTCCTCTTGTTTGGGAATAAAGAATTCTGAGGCTGAGCCCTTCTTAGTGCATCCATCCCTTTCCCCCAATCTAACAATACACCTGATTTGTAGGACCTGATCTTCCCCCAGACATTGCACGAGGCTTCCAGGCTTAGTTACTTCCCTCCTTTTTGTGACTGACATGCTGTGGGGTTTTACAATGGAGCCTTGTAAGGCTATAAGGCTCTGCTTGGCCTTGGCTCTCATTTCACTGTGGAGTCTCAAGGGAAGTCTGGACTGCTGAAGGGATGGTGAGTCATTTTATCTGTGTCTGTTCCACGATGAAAGGGCCCTGTCTCCTTTAGCCACATGGAACCAATCAGTCCTCTTGGCTGGCCAGGTGTGCAGCTCCGGGCAGCTCACATGGGAATGTGAGGATAGAAAGGCACCAGAACCCTGTGCATGGTACCTGTGTCTAGGCAGAGGGAGAAGCCACTGGAGGAGCTGTGTGTGTCTGTTACGAAAGCGGGTACAGTAAGGAGTGTGGGTCTTGGGCCACTATTGGCCAGGGACTCCTGTCTTCACACATGAGCAGGGTGGCCAGGAGGCCACGGATGTTTCCCTTCTTCCCCAGAATGAATCACTAGGGTTTGGTAGAAACATGTGGATTCCTAACCTGGGGTTTTACTGCCTGCATCCCCCATGAAGTTTGGGTTACATGTTCTCACTGAATCCCTATGCCTTATTCTGGGGACACTGAGTACTCAAAGAGATCTGAGAAAGGGGAGGCAGTCCCCATACCCCAGGAGCATCCATGCACCTCTTTTCCTTGGCTAATCTAGAGGAACCCTCACCATGACCCTCAGCTAATTGCCCAACTCGTCTCTTCCTTGCTGTAACTGTGCCATGCCTTTCTCTGTGCTACCCTAAAACCTTCCCCCACCTCCAAAGTCCCCTTATTCACCAGGCTTGAGTCTCCCAGCCCACACCGCCTATGCTCCCTCTGAACAGTACTCATATTAACACATGGTGTCCCCCTTGAGTACTATGTGCTGTTTAGTCTTGTGCTCCTTCTGTGTATGTGTATGTTCTGTGTGTGTACATGTGCGCCTCAAATCCCTAACTAGATTGTGAGCTCGCTGAGGGCAAGGAGCTATCATTTCTTCTTTAACCCCAAGTGGGTCTAGCACAGGGCTGGGCTCCTCACTCTCAGGAAAACACTTGTCAACTGGCTGATAGATTAAATGTTGGAGGTTGGGGGTGGTGGTAGGAGGTGTTTGAAGGGAGTACATGTGAGTTAGCTAGGGGTGCACTGATTTGGGTTGTGGGCTGGCTCCTTGGATCAATAATGTATGTTTGAGGCCTCAGGTCCTTGAATAGTGAGGGTGATAGAAGCAGAAAGGGTACCCACCAACACATACTATGGCTACACAGGAGTGCACTTGAATGGATGTCCAGGTTGGATGTTCTTGGAGGTCCCCGACATTTGTTGGAGCTGACTCAAATAAATGTTCTCTACAACAGTTGGTATGTGGAGTAGTCTTTGGGTATGTGAACATAGCCGGGAGGCAGGTATGGCTTCTATTTCAGCCTGTATCTTAGCCTCCATCACTTGTTGGGGAGTTCCTTCATGGTAACATGGACTTGTGTTCAAAGTGGAGTAGTAGCTAAAGACTATAGGAAGAAGATCACTAACTACAGCAGTTATTGCAGACCTCCCTGTCCAGGTAGTGACTACTATTGGGGACTGATTACCAGTCTCCAGCACTTTCCAATCATTGTCAACCCACAATGGGACAACACCCACTCAGAAGCTGTGAGGTGATTCCCATTGGCTCCCAAGCACTGGGCCACCAAGAAGATTTGAGTCAGGAGATTGGACTCCATGGTGGGTCATCGGGCCAGTTACACCTCTTCTGACTGTAGTCCTAACGGAGCCTGCACTCTTTATTTCATAGAGCTGTGGTAAGAACAAACAAGTCAGATAGACATGATGCAATTTTAGAGCACATCCTCATCCATGTTCTTGTCCTAAAGTGGAGCTGTCGCAAACAACATCTTCTCTAGTGCAAAAGCTAGACAGCACCTTGATGGCAGGGAGCCTCCACCAGGTCTCGTTAATGTGTAGGGTCACAACCATGGCTCAGGAGTACTCTAGATTCTGTCATTAGTCAAGGAGTGTCATGAGTGGAAAGTCACTCCATGTCAGTGCCTTTGAAGCCTGGCTCTGGGGTGAGGGATGGGTCACGGTTGTGCTCCATTTACATTGCTGAAACTGAGGGCCATCTTCTCTTATCCCACCCACACAGCTCCTACGGCAGAAGCAGCAGCTGTGGCCTAACCTCTGTTGGCTCAGTTCAGTTCTTCACCATGAACTTCAGACAGGGTTGCAGGCCTGGCTCAACCTGGGGAGGACTTTATGAATGGCTGGATGGCAACCCTTCATAGAGTCCTACCTGTTACAGTGTGAGAATAGGGGGAGAAAGTCAGAGCTGAGTGGATGGTTGTTAAATCCTAGGGGGTGAGCAGGTGTGTGTGTGTGTGTGTGTGTGTGTGTGTGTGTGTGTGTGTGTGTGTGTTCCTGTGTTTGCACCCATGGGTGTGTGCTCTCTGGGCACTGTCTCCTAGGAGCTTGTTATGG